CAATGAATGTGGGACAATTCCTTTTATGTGAAGAGTTCAGATAATTTCAGAAGAAGCAAAATATTATAAATGGCGACTTTGATGGTGTAATATATTTCTAATAAAGATGCAGTCCTACACAGAAGAACTTCCATAATAGCTGAAGCAAATTCTTTTGACATTGCAGCAGGCAATTACAATTACTTCCGTTAAGGGCATTAATTTTGAGGTGGGGTGGAGTGTAGTACCTAAGTCCCTTATGCTTCTCAAAGTTACTTAGTTGGGTTTTGTTTGCAGCCATGAAATGTACTTTAAAAACAATCATTGCTCTTTCAAGGCATTGCTCTCATTGGAAAAAAAAAAGGAGTACATGGCAGAGAAATCAGAACTGTTTCCTGTATCAACGAACAGATACCAAATACTGTATCAGCTAACAACGAGTTGTGTTGAAACAAATGTTCTTACGTCCAGAATGTTCTTTTATTCCACTTTAAGAGGTAAAGTACAGCAACTGACTCATTACTCAGATTTCATTTGAGCTGTTGCGCAACCTCAGTTGAGAATATTTTTCAACTGAAAAAGGCCTTTTTAGCACTGTGAGAAGCAAAAAAATTTCCTTTTAAATGCAATTATTTAGGTGGAATGGAAGTTGCTTCTACTCAGCTACTGTCATTTCTCTTCATTCCATAGCACTGAGATAATTTTGAGATTTTATGATTAGACCAGTCTTAGAATTTCTTGTAGTGATTTCTAATTCAAAACTGGATGTGATATTTATTGCTGATTCTGTTTCTACTGCAACAGTGAGACTTTTATCATATGCTACCTACAATGAAGATACCATTGCAAAAAAAGTATAGTTTTGTTAAATTTATTTACATTCACAAATAGAAATTTCACAGTATTTAGAACTAGCTAGAGTGCTGGACAGAGGGAGGTTTTAATCACTGTGCTAATTTTTGCAACCCAATAAATTATTCACTCTGACTTCCCTTAAGTCCAAGTCCATTCAGTGCTGATATTTTTTCTGTTTATGTTTCCACTGCACTGCACACAGTTTCTTTCAGTCCTTACTATTGTGTTTGAAGCCTTGGGTATTAAAAGATCCAGTATTTTCAATTTAAGTAGCTTTCTATCTATATTAGGTATATTTATAAAAGTGATGGGGTGTTTTTTTATTAATTTATTAAATTAAATATTTTGCTCTTGCATACCCATTTTCTGCTCTTCTGGTTTTTGAAAATGCTCCTGTTAAATCTACTAGCGCTATGTGTTTTTATAAGACAGGTATGGAGAGCTCCTGCACAAGGGCAATTTCTGCTGGTTCCATACCTGTCATGCAGTCAGGTTTTCTGCAGAACAGCTTCAATCTTTCTTCTGGGAAAAGGCTCCTTATCAGGACGGGCACCTGTGATAGCAAATCCTGGCATAGAACCAGGATCTGTGAGTGGACGTGGGCCAATGAGTTTGTTAGAGAAACACAGCTATGGAAATAAAAATCCTGAATTAGTTTATATTGTCATCTGAGCAGGATGCACAAATAGTAACTGTATGAGGACAAAGCAATTGAGATTTAGTCAGAGGAGATATTAATAGGTTGGGGTAATCTCTAGATAATATTCATGCTTAGTGTTTCATTATATTTGATGGGGTTTTTAAAGGCAGCACATATCACAGCAGAGAAGCCGTGCTACAAAAGTTATTGTGACAGTGACTTACAGAATGACCTGACACCACTGGGGAGCTTGGCCAGCTGTGCAGTTAAGCCTCTTTTCCCTTCTGTTATTAAAGAAGGAAGGAGGAAGAGTTACTGAGATGAAATGGTCTGATATGTATCTGCTTTATGGTCACTGCAGTGAGGCCCTTCTAGAAGTGTGCTCTCAGTTGCCCAAAGAAGCCAGCTCAGATAAATAGTGACTGGCAAAGTTTCGTTGCAATAAAACAATCCAGTGCAGGGTGAGCCTATAGCAACTATACTGCTAATTGCAATTTGCACAGTCCAAAGTTATATAAATAGCTACCTTTGATCTAAATACCAGCATAGGCAGGGACTGATAGAAAAATGCATCTCTAAAAGTTAAGGGTGGTAATTAATACCAGTGTTTACCTCAGTTTCAAGGTTTTACTTACAACCTTGGCCAAAAATAAGGCTTTTCCCAATGCTTTGTTGTCCATTGCAGCTCCTATATTCTCACCCTTGCTGAGGAGCTTCCTCTGTGAAATAATTTTTTTCTTCACTGCAGCATGGCATGACTAACTTACTAGAGACAGCACTATTGACAAAGCAGAAATAGTTTTCTTATTACTTTCTCCTTTCTTATCATCCATATTGTGCTGGCACTTCAGGGCTTCTCAAAGCTGCGAGTGGTGGAAAGTGGCTCAATGTGTGAGATCTTAGGAGTGCTTCGGGGCCACAGGATATCACGGCTGCTGAAATGAGAAAAACCTGCTCGAATAACACCTCTGTAAAATCCCCCTTGTGGGAAATGTGGTCTTGCTGTAGCCAAGGCTACGACGTTTCCTTAGAAACCCAGATCAATCATTCAAGCAAGCGTGAGGAAGTTCATGCGCAGTAATTGCGTTTCATACCAAGAAGTTTCCTTTGCTGGAGGAACATCTGACAACATCGTATCAATGAGTCTGTGTGTGGTCCTTGCCACAAACTCACTCTCATTCTGCCCAGCGCTGGAGGCAGCAGGGGCCCTGCCATGCACAGGGCTCTGCCAGGGCAGTGGTGGCTGAGCTCCCTCTGCTAGGACATGTTCCACTCCCTCCACAGAGGGAAAGCTGCCCTTGACCTCCTGGGCAGAATTTCTCGTCACTACTTCCATGTCAGGAAAGCTGAGTCAGGTATCACTGGGACCAGAATATTCTACCTTTGGCTAACTCTGCTGGTTTGGTGAATGTTTCGTTGGGAAAGGAGCAAGAATACTCGAGTGGAATGAAGTTTTACTAGCAACAAAGATGCCTACAGATAGGACCTTAGGGATTTCTCAGATTCTGACCTTTAGATCAGATGCCTAATCCTTTACCATCCCTGCTGAGATGGCCTGTTTACTTGGGAATGATCCTGGTGAGGAGTTATCTTTGTGAGAACTGCCCATAAACTTCAGCCAGCTCAGAGTTTTGTTGTGTTTGGACTGCTGCCGTGCAAACCTCAAATTCTTGTAAAATTTCTCTGAAATGAATGAACAATACAGTGTGAAAGTTCTCCCCTGCCCCTTTACCTCACACATCCCAGTTACACTAGAAATGACATCTAACTTAAGTCATGCATGCCAAAGGGGAAAAGGGGGTGGGAAGAACTGCCTGTGAAAATAATCCTGTCAACTGCTGCCTCATATTTTTTTTAAATATGATACTGGCAGCAGGTGTGTGCTGAGTCCCCCTCATTGTCCATGACAGTCATGGCACATTCTGGGGGAGGTTCCCAAACTGAAGACACATGATAGGGAGCAGAGAGAGTCACCAGGAGCCCGCAGCCAGTGCAAGAGTGGCCAGTGGGACCTGAGCACTGGTACAGCCCTCATCCACTGCCCTACCTTGTGCTAGACACTGCAATTTAAGGCATTATGTCAAGACAGCTATGAAATCCCAGCTATTTTATAACAAAATTTGAAACATAAGTTGAAGGTAGGGTCTAGTTTTCTCAGTATTTATGTTTCTCAAGCAGTGGTCCATAAAGGAGTAGTAGCCTTTGAGACCTGAGTAAGTGGTCCCCAGCTAGCCTTCAAAAACCACATTTCCTTGAAGAAGGACTGAGGCAATCCAAAGGAAATCAGTGAATCTATTGTAGTAGCCTGGTAATGTTTTCGTCAGTGCTTTTGTATTTCAAGCTGCAAGCTGAAATATGGCTATTTTATTTTCAAATTCTTGGCCAAACCATTCAAAGGAGGCTTTATCAGGAGCGCGGTTGTTTTTTTAACCTCAGAAAGGACATCCTAAAAAATTGTGGAGAATGAGGAGTGGATGCAACAGTGCAGATGTGACTCATGGTCTCCAGGGCTGCCAGGGCCTGGCTGCTGATGTGACACACGAAGCCAGGTAGCCAGGCACAGGAGGGTGTGCAGGGACACGCTGGATGGATGCACGTGCTGCTGTTGATGCCAAGAGCTGCCTACACTTCGCTGGCCTCAGGTTGTGTGCTGCTCATGGCTGGCCACATTCCAGTTCCTCTAGACATTATTCCCTAGTGTTCTTCTGGGGATGTGTTTTGGCTTGAGGTAGCTGTGCTTAAAGACTCTCGAGAAGCACAGGCCAGGAAAAGAACACCAGGCCCTTGTCCTTTCTTACTGCTCAAACTTCTACAGGAGCTACCCTGAAAACTTTGTTCATAACAATACTAAAGGCAATACTTTGTTGATAATATGGGACATTTGATGCAAAAAAACATGAGAGATCGAATGCAATTTTATTTTAAAATTTAATGAGTTATTTGTCCAGAAGTGAATTGGTTACATTTGTGTTTCTGTGAAATAAGTCAGGCATCTTCAAAAGATATGTCTTCAAGTTACCTAGGAGCATTAAACTAATATTAGAAATGAAAAGTCCAAAACATAGTAAAAATGTTTTACTCTAATCTACTTTCATGTTTTCAGACTTCTGACATCATCCTGTTGCCTGTTTTTGCATTATATTAAAGGATGGAAGTCTAGTCACTGATTTTGCTTATTTTATAAAAGAAATGAAACAAAAACATTAGCATAGCTCTGAAGTATAGTTTCACTTTATTGAGTATTCTTAGAAGAAAAACCGTTTTTTTCCACCTTGGGATTTTTTTTCCCCCAGTTTGCAGGAATAAAGATGAAGTTTAAAATGAGCTGGAAAAAATTACAGTCCAAGATATGTTTAGGTCTTTTAATCTTATCAACATGGCACAATATTGAAGAACTGAGAAATGACCTTCAGAGGGTTTTTGTGTGTAGCCAAAGGCATAAACAGGAATATGTAAGGAATACAATTTTTTTTTCTTTCACATGTGCTTGGTTAACACTATGACTCTCTACCTTCTCGTCTTTCAGCCACATAATCAATGAGCTGATAGAAACAGAACGGGTTTATGTAGAAGAACTTCAAAGTATAATAGAGGTAAGAAACTTCTGAAATTAATTTTTGGTGCTAAACCTCTAAGTCATCACTCCAGGTGCACATCCTTCATGGGCTGAGCACTCCCACCTCCTGTTTATAACACACAGGCTGTGATAGCTCAGCCTTGGATATGGAGAATGGGAAGGATGTTTTGAACATCCTTCCTCAGAGCTTAAAGGAAAAAGCATTTTCTTTGGCCTGAGCCCACAGAAGGACAGTGTGCATGATTCTGAAAGTTATGGACAGAGAAAGAGTTAATAATGTCTATTCAAAATATTACCAATAGGTCTCAGAAGCAGCACCTTTGATGTCCATGGGGCCAGACACTAAATTCTGTGAATGTACGTTTGGAAAATGATGGAGGAAAGGGAAGGCGCCCCTCCTGCTCGTCTTTATTGTCCCACGTTGTACTTGAACACAGAAAAAAGCAGCTCATGCTGCAAATATAATTCTTGAGCTTTTGAAACAGATAAGATATCAGCAAACTTGGTGTGTGTGGAGTCTGAGGTCCCTAATCTGTGGGAAGACAGAAGCTGACTAGGGATCAATCATGTGTGGAACTTTAAGGACATGTGGTTGATTCTTTATTACATTTGTTAAATGGGAGCTGGCAGCTCTGTTAATTTATATATTACTCTTGAATTTAAAATAAGAATGTTCTTCTCTTGAAGTTATTATCAAAGAAACTCAATCCAGTTTTTACAAGGAAAAAATATAGTCAATCCAAATGTCACAGTTCAACAAATAAATCCAAACTAACTCTTATGCAATGAAGCAGGGTACCAGAAAGATACCTGTCTGTCAATCTTAGCAGTCTCCATCCCTACATGACCCACATGGCTTTTGAATCCTAGACACATAATTTAATCTACTTTTTATTAACCTCGTGACCTGTTCATTTGTGGTCAAAATGTGTTTACACAGTTACAGGGTAAAATCTCTGGAAAATCAGAAGCACCAGAAATTCATGGGAGCAACAAAGCAGCAGGCATGGGAGAAGCTTTGTTTGCTCTGTGGAGAACAAAAGCACATGGACTTTGGGGCTTTCAGTGCGTTGAACACAGTACTTCTTGCCTGGTAAAAACAGACTGGTTTTATTCTCCACTCTTCTCTGCAGGGGTATGCTTCAGAAATGGACAATCCCAATTTAGTACATCTGATTCCATCTGCACTTCAGAACAAAAAGGAAATTCTTTTTGGGAACCTCCCAGAAATCTACTATTTCCACAACAGGTACATGGGAGCTGGTGGTTGTCCTGCATCCTCAGGTGCCACCATCATGTCCAGTCCTTTTCTGTCAGGTGCTTTGTCATGCTCACACAGGAAAAGTAATCCTCACTCGGTCTCTGTGTCCTATAAAACCCATATGTAGAGAACACCTCTGAAATAATTCGTTTCATCTTTTTCTTTGGTGAAGATTATACCCTTCGTGCATTTACTAGTGATTTCCCCTGGCAGGATCCATTTTGAATGTCCTTTGTGGTCAGTGTTTTACCACCTCTCTTGGTACACTGGTAGATGTCACAGAACTAAATCCTGATATTTTCTATGTGGCAAAACACCTCTGTGAGGAAGTTTTCTTAGTGTTCAGGTTATTTTTCCTGTATTTCTGTTATCAGATCAGAAGATGTTGTACATTTGATGCCACTTTTCTTTTTGTCCCTCATATAAGATCAAAAACATTTCAGAAGCCATGTCCACACTGTGGACAAGGAAATTCAGAGCCCATGACTACAGAATACAAGTTATGAACAAGATTAACCCTTTTGCAATCAACTTTCAGAACACAAAGCTTAGGGCAATTTCTATAAATTTTCTGCTTTTCCTAGCCTTGCTTAAGCAAAACTGGCTGTAGCCAAAGCGGGAGTTTAGGAATTGTTTTGAATTATAATTGCCTGTAAGATGTAACAAACAGCTGAACAAAATTAATTTTTAAAAATATATTTTGCAAGTCTTAATATTATGTCAGAGTAGTTAATACATAGTAGAAAAATTATTTTCCAGTTTATATATTATTTCAAAGATTGTGTCTTCCATTTAGAGAAAGATATTCCTCTCTCTTTGCAAGCCCAATCTTTCTTTCCCTTTGCATTGACTGTCACTGCAGAAGCCTTTGGACTACATCCCATATTTTCACTGCTTGCTGATTGAGCAACTGCATCTGACAGAGCATTCCTGCCCTTTCTAGCTGTTCTGAAAAATCCTCATAACCAAAGGGAAAGCAGGTATTTGGGCTACAGATTGGAAATAAATTTCAACAGTCAGAGGAATCAGATGTAGTAGATGCTTGTGAGCAGAGAAAATATGATAATATTTGTGATTTAGGGAATCAGGTGACAGCCACATCCCATTTTTCTAAAATATTTGTTCATTGGTGTGTCAGGACTGTTACCTTTCCCATTGAATCCTCATATTACAAAAATGAAGACCTTAAATTGGATTTACACAGAAGCTAGCACACAAATGTGGGTGGGACTTCACATTACTCTTTGCTCTTTTTTTATTCCTCTCAGGATTTTCCTTAAGGAGATAGAAAATTGCATTGAAAACCCTGAGCTTCTTGCCCGATGCTTTCTGAAAAGAGTAAGTATATCCTTTTCCAGGTTTGAACGAATAGCTGTGGTCTTATCCTACAGTACTTACATATTTACTCCCATCTTTTCACTCTGTTTGCTTTTGTGAATGAGGGAAACTCCTCTAAGCAGATATTCCCAAATTAAGCTACAGTTACCAAGCATGTATTCTGATATCTGACCCTTTACCTGGTTTACTGACAGGAAGAAATCTCTTACCAGTGTTTTACAAGTATTTTAAGTCCCATTTAAAAGAAAAAACCCAACAAATAACAGTGATCCAAATGTTTGACATGCTTTTCATATCAGACACATCTATAGCAGGAGTCTAATGTAACCCAGACACCACCCAGCAGTAAATAGGCAGAGAACAATATTGGTATCACAGCAGGTTGCTCTGAGTGCAGACAACACATCCTGTTCCTGCTTTATCTTATCTCTCTCTTCTCTGCACCATTCAGGACACTTGGTTCCCTAGAACTGTCCCAGCAGAGTCTGCTGCTGTCCTTGCATGGGCCCCACCAGCTCCATAAGACTCTGTGAGGTCGATTCCCTTTGCCTCTTCATTCAACAAATGGGATTCTCTCTGCTGTGAGGTGACTCTCAGTGCCCAAGTGCTGCAGCTCTCTCCTAGAGCTCCCAGTGATGTCCCTCCTCCACTCAGCCTGACCATTAGTTCTTTCCTGCAACACAACCAAAGGTGCTTGTTTCTATAGCACCCCTTCAGGGGCCCTACGAATGAAAAAATATCTGTTTTGGTGGTTTGCTGCTGCTTTCAGAGTTTGACAAAACTGTGTGAATAAGGCTCTGTGTTTTGCACAGGAAATGGAAGTGGCATGAGAAATGTGAATATCTGTGCACTGTAGTCAAAGGTACCTCATGCTTCTCCTGTATACTACAGGTAGCATTTGCTGCTTTTCCAGAGCACATATTAAATACAGACAGATTTGGATGAATCAGTCAGAGGTGCTGAGCACTGCCTCATTACTAAAATTTAGTGGGAATTGTGAGCATGTGATACTTGCAAAGGGTATACTTCCAATTTACAAACAGATCAGGCTGGAGAGAACCATACAAGTGTAAATGTGATTGTATGTCCATTGGATTATTTTCTGTTTAACAACGAAGCATTTAGAGCTTGAGTAAATGACACTACCAAGGCATATGTTGTTATCCTATCCTAGGATTCAGATGCTGGGCAGGAAAATACTGTGGTGAAACCATTATGCAAAAGAGGATAAGCAGTCTTTGAAGAATGCAGACCTTTGAAACCTAAAAAAGTAAAAGAGTCCATGTGTTGCATATATCCCTAAAGAATGCAGTTAAATAAAAATTCTTGGTATAGAACTGTTCCTATGATTCTGCAGAAGGTTCAAGTACCATGTTTAAATATTGTAGGTTATGTGTCTGTAAAAACAGCTGTTAAGCCAAATTCTCCTCACTATTCTACCAATATGAAAACAGAACTAAAGCTAGGGTTCAGGTATGAAGTGAAAGAAAACCATTGCCTTAGCACATCAGTTAGTGTGGCCTGGTCAAACACACTAAATCTATCAAATAAGGGGTTAAATCATGCATTTGCTTTCTCCCTATTTCAAGTTTCACACTAAGAAAGCACAAGCTTCTCTCTTGAGTTGTCTCTGCTCACACAGTAGCACCTTTGATTCAAGAACTTGCCCTCATGTTCTGTTTTTAGAAGAAGCCACATAAAGTCCAGAAATGTGTTGTTTCTGTTGGACTGCCTTTAGGAGGCACAAACAAAAGTCTGGTTGTGTGTTTGTGTTCCCCATGATTTGGCAGCTTTTTATGCCTTCCTGCTGAGCAGTGGCTTCTGGCTGCCCTGTGAATTATGGCCATGCTTGCTATGACAGGGGGAAACAGAAGCAGCTGCTGTTCCAAGTGATGCTGAGTCCTGGGAGGAAACTCACACTGTTGCAGGTTCTCCTTCTTTGTATGGGTTTAACCATCCTGCCATAACAACAGACTGGGCCTATGATTAGAAACAGACAGTTTTTTTAGATTCATTCTTTGAGGAGTTTTGTCTGATCACGCTGGGCCTTTTCAGCCCTGATTCCAGAGCTGCTTGAAAGTATCCTGAGAGCTGCAGTGAGACACTCTGGTGCCAGTCACTCCATCCCCTGCCAGCCATTCCTCTGCCGTGTCCCCACACACTCTCCCACCTCCACCAATGCCACCTGATCAGCTGTCACCATGAATGTGAACCCTTCATCTCAGGGGATAGGAGAAACAGGCTGTGGAGTCTCCTTCTGGCTTCTCTCTGGCTCTGTCTCCTGGAACATGGTAGCAGAATCTGGTAAAAGATGAGCCAGAAATGACTTTCTTGTTCTTCCTCCCGATTTGCCTGACCTCGTTTACAGCATGATCTTCATATGAGCTAAATTACGAGTGAGCCAGCTCAACTTCACCCACATGGCAGCTATTTTGCCATCACCAAGATGCTTGACCTTACTTACAGCTCTGTGTGGTCGAGGACTACACAGCTTTCAAAGTCAGGAGAGGTGTGCACTGAATACCTTTCAGAATGGGTCCTCTGGTGGTTTATCAGCAAAAGGAGGGACATGCTGGGCTGATCTGCTGTACAAGAAGAAGGAAAGCTTACCAAATCAAGGCAAGAATGCCCAGGATGGAAGCAAAGGTGTGTCAGACTGCTTACCAAAATGTGCAAGGTGATGTGTCTGGCAGGAGTGATTCACTGTAGATTACCACTGTTCTCTTATTGCTATATTGCTAGCCTTATAAAAGGGAATAGTTTAATAGGACCCAGCAGTTGGGGCATTTGATCATTCAGGGAGAAAGAAGCATTTAGAAAAGGAATCTACCTGTGAAAGAACAGTGGCAGCTGACCAGAAACCTGTGAGTTGGATTCAAAGGTCTAAATTCTAGACTAATGCAAAAATTATTAATAAATCAGCAGTCAAAAAGATAATTGAAACTGTGTATATATACCATGTGCATTGGAGCTTACAGAGCTCTCAGCATCCAAATCAGTGTGGAAAGGAAAAGCTTTACAGGAGAGAGGAGCATGGTATAAAAGTACTAGCAAGAAGTCAGAATCTTTGCATGTGAAAATAGAGATGTGTGGAATATTTAAGACTGGGATTTGAATAATTAGACAATCAATTATTTCTTGGCGTTTTAAAGTCTGAGCCTAATTCTATCCTAACACTATTGCAAAACTTAAAGCTGTAATTAAATATGTAAGTATCTGCCTGAGCAGGTGTCATTGATTTAGGCAGCAGTAGATTGCACTGGTGCAGGGTGGTTCCACTGTGGTAAATTGCTGGTAAATTGTTGGTCATTGTACCTTTTCTTTAAATTTAAATTGGTTACTTTCTCTTCCTAATAGTCCTCTTGTCTGTTGCTCTCTCTGTTCTTCTTCTCCAGTCCAATAAGTTTTCTGTGGGCCAGGATGAGATTGTAATGTTTGATTATGCATTGTTGCTATTTTAGTTCTGTGGGGCTTACCCCCTCCTAACTTCCCTCCAGGGCTACATGTACAAACAATTCTATTTTTGTGAAGAAAACTCTGCACCTATTTTGAAACAGCACCATTAATACTCTTGATTTGCAACAGAGGGGGGTTTTTTATTGCATAATCCTTGACACAGTGTGGTGTTACGTGACACAGCTCTGATTTTGCAGCTGATTCATTGGGGTGATGTCAGGATGGGTCTGTAGAGGAAGACAGCAGCAACACTGATTTCTTCTGGTAATTGTAAGAAGGAAGTGATTTCCCTGAAACAGGAATGTATGGGACGTGCCTGGTGGGCTGAAAGCACAGAGGAGAAATCCAGGAATTGCTGAGATTTATTTTTGGTGTTTTCTTTGATTTGCTGAGGTCACATCCAGCAGGGTAGGTGCAGATGAAGTGGGAAGCTCCAGGATGGTCGGGCACAGCCGGGAGCTCCCTGGCACTGGCCCATGGCCATCCTGGTGCACAGTCAGCAAGCTGGGACGTGGCAGAGGAACACCCATCTCTGCATCCACCCACACTGCCAGGGGAGCTCAGGACACCCCTCTGGGCTGCTGTAGAGATTGTCTCTGTTTCCGCTGAAGTCAGTGAGATTTTTGCCGTGGACCTCAGTGAGAGCACTTGGAGCATAGTCAAAGCTAAATAAAGTGAATCCACCCACTTCTAATTCGGAAAGGACAGTGTTTGAATACTTCCCTCTGCCTGGCCTGGGACATCAACAAGATAAACTTCCTTCTTTTTAATTTGTCCTTGTATTATTGAGAGCCAACACTGTTTTTGAAGTGTATTGAACTGATAAACCTTAGTCATCATTAACTATTATAGTCTGTGCTAGTATTGTTAATAAACTTGTTAATAAAGTTTAAATCTCTAATGTTTCTTTTTTGTTTTGTTTTCTTTTGGTTTTTGTTTCCAAACCATCAATTCACCTCCCTGAAAAATACACCAGTTTTGTAGTTAGATTATGTGTCTTTCAGTTTGCAGTCTCCTTGCTTTGTGTGAAAAGTGAGGGGGAGAAAAAAAAAATCTCACTTTCAGGTATATTTAACTTAACCAGAAATAAAAAGCAGGTTTGGTGATTTCAGAATGTTTTTACATACAGAGTTATTCCCATGTAATAATTACTTAATGTCTTAGGATGGACGGTAAGAAAAAGTGTGATTCAAGAAAGACATTCTCTGGATTCTTTTTCCTTCCCTTACCTAAACTCTTCTTTTCTTGCAGAAGGAGGACCTCCAAATATATGAAAAGTACTGTCAGAACAAACCAAGGTCTGAAGCTCTCTGGAGACAGTGTGGAGACAGCATCTTTTTTCAGGTAGAATTTCATTGCAGACTAGTAGTTCAAGACCCTCAAAGCTTGTTTTTCTTGTGTATCCCTATTCTTTAGAAAACCTAGAGTAATACAGAGACTTTTCTACATGCTTCTTATACTGATGACAAGTGCCCAGTGTGTGCCAAGGTGTTTTCTACAGGAGACTGGGTAGGTAGAGCAGTGGGTAGATTTCCTGGACAGGAGCCTGACTCTGCAGGCTATACCCACACCAATCAAGTTCTGGCTTCTTTGCAAATCCCAGCTGATTGCAATCTCATCAGCAGGGAATTCCAGATTTCGACACCAAGTTGAACCTAAACATCAGCTCTTGTTTAGAAATATTTTCACTGCGGCATAAGTAACCCGGAAATTCCTATGCAGATGGGACAAATTTCTCTCTCAATTATTTCACAGACATATAATCTTCAGATTGTCAAATGATAACAATGATCTTGGTGACTTGCCTGTGTTTCAAGAAACAATTTTATTTTTCTTCCATATTGTCTCCTACAGGAATGCCAGCGTAAATTGGATCATAAGCTCTCACTTGATGCCTATCTATTAAAGCCAGTTCAGAGAATCACCAAGTACCAGCTGCTGCTAAAGGTAAGTTCTCCATGACAGCACAAAGTATTCCAGTGTACTTCCAGAACTGCATCTCAGTCAGGACTACCTGGAAATGAATCCTCACTCAATTCTTCAGCAAGTACTCAGCATTATTAGTTGTAAAATGGTAAGAAACAGTCTTGTACAGGGACTTGTATTTTAGATTGGGAGCTGCTATTACTCAGCAGTGCTTATACTAAGTAATACCAGTATGCTATTATATGTATAGCTCTTTCTATATAAAGTAAGATATTTTACTTACTTTTAAAGTTAGTAAGTATTTTATTGTTTTATTTATCTTTAAACAGAAATTGAGCTTGGATTTTTTGTATATGGTCTTACAATTTGAAAACAGGAACTGATGCCTTAAATCCTGTCTAACATCTGTCCCTGTTTAACAAAACTCTTTCAGCTCCCTGAACTGATATTTTCCCAAGGCTGTGACTCAAACCTTTTGGAGGGAGCCACTCCCTTTTGCTTCTTCTTTTTAGAAGACACAGCCAGGAACAAATAGTCTGTAATTTTTCCACAGGGTGAATATGTGAACTTCCCTCTTGATTAGCTGGAACCATGAGTGGTCCATGCTTGAAATTCTGGTCTGAACTGGGCAATAGAAAATATATACACTCAAAACAATGATTTTTTTTTCCTTTTTAAGGTGGTGGCCTAAATTCCTGTCTCCATCTACTCAGTTCTTAAAAATAATATTTACTGACTTTCCCTATGGGAAGGTGATGAAGGTGCATTACATGCTGTTCTCAAGCCTCTGGGCTTAAAGCAGTGTTATGTACTGTCATGAAATTTAGCATTGAAATTTGCAATGAAGATTTTAGGTTGCCATTTAATTTGCTAATAGCTACCATGGCACTGCTCAAAATGTGCCAGTATAAGCCATGGGAGGACCTGGCTGGCCATTCTTGTGCAGTATTTCTGTGAATTATTGACTTAATGTAAAATTATAGAATCAAATTATTGAACATGGATATTGACAAGGATGCAACTTCACTGATTCCAGTAGATTTATTTCAACATAGTCCAGAAATAAGTTTGAACTCTATTTCTTGAAACTATTTTGTGAGAAGGGAAAAAATGTCAAGGTCTCCAGGAAAAACAAGAGTAAACCAGATTTTACTTTTAATTTGAAATATGACTATAAATAAACCCAAGATTAGATCAAGGAGTAAAATTCTCAAGCAGAACAGGTCTCAGCCATTGGGGTTTGAAGCTGGTCAGACCAGTTTCATACTTAGCAATAACACTTTGGCACTGGCATTTACTTTGTCAGGGTTTATGAGATCTGGGAAGATGGTGCACTCCTTCCCTGACTGCAGGAGCTTTTAAAAGTGTAGAAAAATGGAAGCCAGTGAAAATTGTGTGAAAAGTGCTTAAGAAGCTGTGTCCCTTGAGTGGTGGGCAGACTGAATTTAAATTTTGGGTCACAGTTATTGCATCCCTCTGGTTTCAATCAGTTCAGCTGATATGGCCATGCTGATAAAAGCAGCATGCTCACTGTACAGAGGTCCATCCTCATCCTAGAAAATGTGCAGCAGGTACTGTAGGAATGCATCCTGCTTTTACCTTCTAATCCCTGGTTACCCAAGCACTTGAGGAGAGACTGCTGCTGCTTGGAGTTTGCAGGAATTACCTTTTTGCATCCCTCTTTTACGGGAACTCAAGTGCCTCAGCTTTTGGATTAAAATATTTCCAAACTCGAAATGTTAATGGAATGTTAAACCTGCCAAATTCAGACTAGAAATTAATTCATATTTTTAACAGTAGAACTAATTGCAGAAGAAAATGGGGAATTGTCTAACACCTGAAATAATTATATTGAGTTTCTTTTCTAGCAGAGGTGAAGAAAAAAAATCCCTGGATGTAATTCTATGACATGCAAGGAGTCCATTGTAAATATGTCAGAATGGTCCTGTCTCATCTTAAATGAACTCTTTACACTTGAAAATGTTCCAAAGAACAAAATGTGCATCCTCAATGACCACCCCAGTGAATGTCATATTTGGGTTTTGGGGGTTTAATTGTTCCTCTTTTGTTTTCCTCTAGTTCTGCTACTTTGTTTATGTAACAAATTCCAAGGGGGATTGTCTTACAGTGTCTTCTGGTATCAGGAGTTCTCAAGTATTCCCTATATCTTTTTTTAAACAGGAAATGCTGAAGTGCAGCAAGAATTCAGAAGGTACTGCTGAACTGGAAGAAGCCCTGGCCACGGTGCTTGATATCATCAAATCAGTAAATGATTCCATGCACCAGATAGCAATCACAGGATATGAGGTAACTGCTCCTACTCTGGTCTGAGCCATCCCATGTTTTGTCATCACTGATCATGCTGTGCCCATGGCTGGTACAGTTCTTTATGGAGCCTGTGCCACATTCCTGAAGGATGCTACTCAGTGGCATGTTGTGATGACCAAAAAGACATGTCAGCACACCTACAGGTGGAGCTGGGGTGTGAATGTGGGGACATAGTGAGGCAAATGCAGGAACTTTTGAGTAATTGTACCCAAAACTAATTTGTAGTTGAGAGGTATAAGTGTGGCAGAACCGACTTAAGAAATTTGCTGAAACTTTGTGACTCCTGTGCAACTCAAGTGTTTTCAAATCTTTTGCACTTAGGGAGAAAAATCTGGCTTTCATCTAAAGTGGGTAATGGAATCTGTGCCAGTGATTGGCATGCTTGTTATCTAAAATGTGAAATAACACCCAAGGTACAAATCAAAGGGCACAAATATATATCTCTGCAGAAGCTCCATTGAAGTCATATGACTTTAAAGAACTAGTGCTGACTACATAAAATAAGTCCTTAAGTGAGAAGTGGAAGTGATTGACACATAAAGGAGAAAGGATACTGGCAAAATGAGGCCTGAGAATCATGTGATTGCTCATTGTGAAATAGCTGCAGGGTGAAAATGTCAAGAAAGAAATAATATACTGAGTATTGTTCAAAGGATTTTTACATCATAGTAACAGGCTTTAATCCAGAAAAACTATTTTGTGTGGAATCTGACTTCCTGAGAAGGTCCTGGGGTCTATACTGACAATTTCTGGGTGGGAAAAGTTATTGTGGTTTTTAGGATGGGAGTGGCCTCAGGAGTTTTGATTTCTATAATTCTCTTATATGCAAGTGCATCTGTGCCTGGTAGCTGAGGAACCCATGCCTGCTGCCAACATGATTTAATAAATAAATTCAACTGCTTGCTCATTTAACTGCTTGTCAGAGATCCAGTGCTGTACACAGCTGGAGATGCTCCTGTGGACTGTGCATTACACTTGGGATGAGAATGTGAGCTCTGCCTGCAGTAGCTGGACTGAGTTGAAGATGAAGCAGTGGCCACCTCATTGTACTGCCAAACACTGAACAGGTGTGGTGATTGTGGATCAGAGAAACACCACAGGTCATAAATACAATCTTAGATCTCCTAAACCTGACAAACTTAAACAAAGCAGCATATACTTAATCCATTCTGGTCATGGCTGAGTGTCTCAGAGACTCATTTTAGAAAAATTCTTCAGAGTCTCTATATTATTATTGCAGACTTGAACGAGTCAACATGGGCATGGGAAGCTCATGGATACAGCACACCTTTTACCTCCCCAGTTTCCACTGTTTCTTACTAATTCCCAAAGAGAAAGGTAGCTTTCCTCCTGCGTTTCTCAGTTGAAATGTATGTACTTACAGCAATTCAGCAAAAAATTTTTTTCAAAACAGTTCTGTAAAGAGAAGAAAAGAAGAGCTTCTCCAAGAAAGGTAACATATTTTCCTGAGCAGGGGGGATGTAATGTCCATATAAATGTTGAGGCCATCCTTATGTCTATTGCTTGCTTTAAAGTGTGAGTAGTTTTGTACTCAGGAATTCAACAGAACATTCCTGTTCCTTTTCAACTTTTACTTTTGAATTTTCCACCCTTTCATGAAATGCCAGATAGTAACTCCAAGGATGAGATTTTTGCCTCTGTTTTCTTAGCTGAACTGCAAAATATGGCACAGTGGGACATGGCCACTGTTTAGCCCAATGCTGACAGCATCCCTGAGTTGGTTTTTTTACCTGATAATAAAATGAGGTGAAAGTGTGAAAGAGGATGCACCCAGTAATTTCTTCTCCCAGTTTCACCTGTCCCAGGTGCTCAGCTGTGGTGCCAAATAAGCACCTCCCATAGACAATGAAACCACACCCCATCTTGTGGAGTCTTTTCCACACAGCCATGACAGAAATACTTGCCTGGAAAACCTTTCAGAGAGGGATATTATGCCAGTAGGAAGGCAGGTTTTGTGACAGCTGATAAATACTCCCAATTGCATAGGATATTATGTTTCTTGGACTTGGGCACATGCAGATTTGAGAAGCTGAACTCTTGTGTAAGAAATTGCTAACATGTAAGTCTGGGGTTGGTTTGGTGTATGTTTTTTATTTTTAGGCAAAACCACACACACACAAATAAGTAGAATAAAGCTTGGAGAACAGAAGTTTTAGATGTGTTTCCTACTATCATCCCAATATTTGTACACAGTTTGGCCTGGGTAGTTTGTCCATGAATTATGGTGAGACATTCTTATAAGTTATCACTCATCTTCCATAAACATGGGGTACTATGTATTGCTGTAATGGGAAATAATTGTATTTGAGATAGTGATCAAATCCTTCACTTTATAAACTTCCTTTAGGATAAAATACTGCTGTCTACTAGCAGAAATGACCAGAAGCAGCTCTCCTATTTGCTGCCTACACTGAAGACAATGCAGTGTTGTGGGCTAATACTCAAAGTCTCCTGTGGGATTGCTGCACACTGCCATCCCTGTCTGTCTCTCTCTCTCTCTGCAGTGGCAGCCTCCCACTTCAGTTACTATTATCCCAATCCCAGATTCAAGGTTGGAGAGACAAGCCTGTCACAGGAGTTGAACTGAGCTTCTGGATCTCAGTGCTGTATTGAACAGTGCCTGGAGTGATGGGAGACTTTCACCATTATCAGAACCATGCAGAAAATATGATTTTTAAAAAAAAATTAGCTTTGCATATCAATGTGCTTTTCACAGGCTTGCAGTCTATAGCTACATGCACATATAAATACAAACACCCACAGTTCTGTATACACAAAGCTCCAACTCTATATATTAGAGCTGCCAGACTTATCTAAATTGCTGAGGTTTTCTGAATGGTTTGGAGAGTCTAATAGTAGCCTGATATAGAGTGTAAAAGTACCTAATAAAGCTCTGCTTTTGCAGTTGAATGTAAGGTAGAGGAGGGGGAGTGAGAGGGAGAACAGGTTGCAATTCTTAGTATAAGAAATGAGACATTCCCACTTGGACCCAATGTCTTCACCTTATAATCAACAGAACATGCATATGTTGAAAGTAAGTACTTTAATGATGCACTGGGCTTATTCCCTCAACTTATTATACAAAGCACTCCTTGGAAAACTTGCTGTTAAGATAATTATGATTATCATTATTTGTTGTATCCCATTACCATATAGGCATTGCCATGTCTTATATCCACACATTCCTCCACTCTTAACATGAGATTGTTCTGGTGATATCTGAGCTAAATATTCATATCAGTTGAAGTATTTACCCATCTGTGGTCTTCAGACAAGAGCTTTAATTTAGAAAGGTCTGGTTCCTGCCTAGTTTCACTCTTCCTCGGGTACTTTTATGGCACCTTGGTGCATTCACTCCCTCTTTGCCCAGGGCTGTGCAGCATTGCATAGTTTGCAGATGGTGAGCCAAGAAGCTATTGACAAAGCTTGTAAAGACTATTTTGAAACAGGAGGGAATTACATACCTACATAGCTCTAGGCACTGATCCATGACTTCAGGCATCTAACCTCTTTCAAGGTTTTGCCCAGGGATGGAGGAAGCTTGTACAAGACTGGAAAGTGAAACTAGATCTTCCAGAGTCAAAGCTTCCTCTGGGTCACCAGAGGGGACAGCCTGTATGTCACATCCAAAGAGATCCTGAGATGGGTCTTAAAGGCTAACTATGAATGGGGAGTCAAACTGGGAATTATGGACATGGAAACCAGTGAGCTTATGGTTATAGGAAGAAAACACAGGCTTAGTAAGGAGATATGTGCACTCTCCAACACAACTGATGCCTCTACCTGGAATCTCAACCACCACTAGAGGAATGAACTGTGCCTGGGAGTACCCTGGTTTGGATGTGATGTGTTCTCTTTTCCTTGCTTCCTAGGGGGATGTCAGTGAGCTTGGCAAGCTGTTGATGCAGGGTTCCTTCAATGTATGGACTGACCACAAGAAAGGGCACAACAAAGTGAAGGACTTGGCTAGATTCAAACCAATGCAGAGACACCTCTTCCTCTATACAAAGATGCTGCTTTTCTGCAAGAAAAGGGAGGAGAACACCGATGGCCATGAGAAGACTGCTTCATACAGCTTTAAAAATTCCTTAAAGGTACTAAATGGTGGGGGAGGCAAATCAGTCCACAAGACAAGGATATTTCTGTGAGGGTATTTGAAGAAGGTGGACATAGCTGGAGCTCTCTTGTACCCCTGAGTGAATGACAGCTCCCACTCAGTTTTGGGCTGGAGGCAGACTGAGCCCATATGTCCTGCAACTGCAGATGTGAACCTTGTTCCTTGCAACTTGATACAAAGGGGCATCTTGTGTGTTCTTGCCCAGCATCCCATAAAGAGAAGCCAGCCTGAATGGACCTGCATCTGTCATTGCTCTGCCTATGGGCATCCTCCAAGTGCAGTTCTATTGCAAGCTTTACTGTGGATACAGTTGAGCAAATGTATTCTGTGACAGTAACAGCTACAGATGAATCAGTAGAAGTGCCCTTTTATTTGCAAGAGTGAAATTTCCAGATATGAGTCAGGACATTTTAAAGTGGCAATCAAAAGTAGGCCACATTTTCCCTCTAAGCACATTGGTGTGACACTTGTGACTTTAGCCAGCTGACATGGATCATCGAGTGTATTGTTCCAAACTAATGTCAGAGTACGCAGACAGGAATTGTAAAAGAACCTGGTTCAAGGCTTGAACCAATTCATATAAACATTTCAAGTTTCTCCCTGTAGAGAAAGAAGGAATGGTGGCATAACACTGCCTAAATCTTTAAATTAATGCTGTGAATGTGAACGAGAGGCATAAGCAAACACAGGAATAAGATGAGAAGCGGTTAGTAGCAGCTGAACTTCAAGATTGTGATTAAGAATTTTTCGTTTAAGAAATCTAGAATCAGGTTTTTTGTGTAGTTTGGATTTGCAGTCTGGTCATTAAATCTCACAAAGCCCTCTTCCATCACTCTTTCTCTCCCACCTCAAAAGATCAGTGACGGCAAGTGAAAAAACAGTCTTCCTAAAACTGAAAATTTGTCAAGGTGAACAAGAACCAGGATGGGGTTGAAAACTGATCCATAGATAAAGCAATGAAAGAAAAGAGGATAAATTCATGATCAGACATTAGCTCGGGTTAATTTTGAACATTCTTTTCCCCTTTAGCAATCAAAAAGATGAATGACAACTTAGATATTGAGAAATAACATGCTCTGAATTTTACTTTAATGACTCCCAAAGGTGTTGGAAGTGAATGCAGCCTTTTAAAAATGCTTCTCAAAGGATCAGTTTTAAAGACTGTTAATATTTTCCAGATTCCAGCTTCTTCTTTTCTATTTTGAAACAGATGAGCACTGTGGGCATTACAGAAAATGTAAAAGGGGATAACAAGAAGTTTGAGATCTGGTATAATGGCAGAGAAGAAGTCTATATCATTCAGGTAATGGCAATCATTTTTGTTTCCAAAATGTTTTGTTTGCTATACTTCTTTTCAATTGAATTGTTTTTAAGAATGTTCACTGTCCTGTACACTCCAGAAACAATAGCCATTAAAAGCTTCATTGTTGTGTAGGTGTTGAAATGGCTAATTTATTGTGAAAATGGTCGTGATTTTGGCTAAAAGAAGAAATAAAGTAATGGAAAATTCCTTGGAATGTTGGACAGAAAAGCTAGGACAGGACTTAAGATTTGTGGTAACTTTTCCAATCCCTATCAAAACTGAGAGCCAGTGTAGGTCAGGGCAGCCCAGTGACTGGCAGAATGTTTCAACTGGATCTGCTTTGCCTTGTCCTCTTTTGTTCTCAGGCATCTTCTGTAGAGCTGAAAAACACCTGGATTTCAGAGATCCGCAAAGTCCTGACAGGACAGCTGGAAGCGTGCAGAGGTAGGGCTCACGGAGCAGCAGCTGGGAATGTGTCCTTCCCTCTGTAGCTGTGTGTGACAATATGGGGCTGGGACAGGTTCCAGTGCCAGCCAGTACCACCAGTGAAGCCAGCAAGGACCAGCTGGGCAGTTGCATCAGTGCTGGGATTTAAAGCCATGTCCTGATCAACGAAAACTTCTTGGACTTTTATAAATGACATGGGTAACTATATCATTCCCAGTTATTCCAAGGAACATGGTTTTCCTCTGTTGTCCCTCTCAAGCCAAAACTCCAGAAGCATCCTTTTACCTCAGGATGTGAGGAGATGAGGTCTGCACTCTGTGTCTGGTCACAACACCTGGATCAAAAGGTCTCCTTCCACATCCATGACTGGACACTGCAACTGCTCTTCTGTCCTGGTGTTTGCTTTGTTTTGGCTGGGCTTTGAGGATTTTTGTTTTAAATCCAGTCACCCATTTTATGTTCTAAATGTCAGCTGTCCCATCTTTCCCTCTTAGTGACCTTCTTGTAGAACATGGTTAATGACATTTCCCTCTCTCACAGAGATGTCCCAATGAAGGTGGTTTGTGATGTATTCAGCACTCTGAATGATTGAAGCCTCCTAAGTACCTAAGATAATGACACCCTTTTTTATATGGGGTATTGAATCCCAGACAGACAAAATTCAGTCAGGCTATTTCAGATAGTAAAAGAACATAGTGATGATAGCTATCATAGATGCTATTCTATTTATTCTCTTAGGACAAAAAACCCCACAGACTTTTTCTGGATCTTGGCATTGCTTCTCACCTTGGTCTGTCATTTTCTGCTTCTCTCATACACTCATCTCTCTTTAAAGCAAGGTCAGCCAAGCTTCTCCACCCACATCCTTCAAATTCCTAAGCAGACTTTGTCCAAGGTGGAAACCTGTGTCTGTGCTTTAACTTTAGAGGTCACCTCTATTTTAATTGTCTGTTTCACACAGACAATGAGTTCTTACAACCTCCTCAGGTAGAAGGAAACAATTACGAACATCAGCCTCAGGACTTGAATCCAACCCATAACAATACACCTATTTACAATGTTTACTACTCTGGTCTTTTGTTATTGATCTTGTCTTCATCCTTTTTCCTTTTATTCTGATTTTTGCTGTGATTAGTTCATCAGAAACTGCTGAGGAAAGACCTCAAGATTCTTGTTAGTGCAGTTTCACTGTAGGGACTGGATCTAGAGGCTTTCTGATATGGTTTGTAATATTTGCTTCTAAAGTACAAAAGCTGGTGTTACTTAGGCTACCACAGAATAGTTGTTAATGGAGAAAATGTACATATTTAATAGGATAGAGTGCTAGTCCTCCATTTGTGTTTCTAGGCAAAGGAAATTAATCTTGTATGTTACCCAGATGAGCGTTTGTGAAATCTCTATAGCGTACAAGACCTATTAGGTAGAGTTATTTTTCATTTTCCAGAGAAAAATATACAGGAATCAAGACTGATTGAAGCATTTCTATTTTGATGTTCTTTATTGTTTTGCTCTAAGATCATATGATTCTAGAATATTTCAGGTTTCAAGGGACCTCAGGACATCGCAGTCCCAGGTAGTGCTTAGAGCAGAGTCAGTTATTGGTCAAACAAGGTTACTCAAGACTTTATTCAGTCTGGTCTTAAGACCATCCAAGGGTGACTTCTATCGTGCTCTATGAGTAAAGTCAAGCTTTTCTTTATTGTGAGTCCAGCAGAAGAGTAGTCAGAGGGTATAAATTGTATCTCATATGCTACTGCAACTCTTCCCCTTGCCTTTTCCCAAATGATCACATGAATCAAACCCCTTACTACAATAACTGGTGTCAGGAAGCACGTGTTTTGCCCTGTGGTTTTAAAGTTTCTTTTTCTAATGACTCACAAAAGAAGAGGCCTTAATCCAAGACTGGATATTTTTACAACTGACCATTGTGAAGGGAGAAGGAAGAGGGATATATTTTTTGTCTGGCTGTTTTAATGACTGTTGTTAGGAGTTGCACAGGGGGTTGGAATGTTGGAAGGAACCAGCTGAGGTGAATGAAGGTCAGAGAAGGTGGCCACAGGGTGTGATAAATGGTTTAAAATATAGGTCACTCATGTCCAAACGTTTGGTGTGTACCCAGCCCCATCAGATATTGCAGTGAGCATGGAATGGCTTTGAGCAACACCTTGATCCATCAGTCCCAAAGAACATAGCTGTTTCTTGCAGGCAAAGGAATTACTGATACAGCTTAAGGAATTTGTGTAAGGCCATGAATCAGTTGCCAAATCCAGGAATGGAGCTACTATTGACTGCCCACCCAGCATGGGCATTTCTACCCCACCAACAAAGGATGGAGTTTAATCTTTCAGTGCTGCCCTGTCGCCTAGTCACTTCTCTTTCACTGACAGGAGGTTCCTCTTTTTTCAGAGTGGAATAGTCCAGGGATCTCAGCAATGTGAGAGTTTGAAAGCAGCTCCTTCCATTCCTTCCTTACTTCTCAGTGTCTGACTCTCCTGGCCCTGGAATTCAGGCCCTGAGCAACTGCCTTATAATTTTTCTTCACTCAGCATTTACTGGACAAAGTACAAGTCTGTTGCTACCTTGCAGCTCTGCAAAAAGAGTGAAAAAGTAGCACATGGGTAACATTTCCTGATTACTGTTTGTCCAGGATGCTGAGCAAAAGCATTCTGCAGAGAGATGGGGATATAGTCTGCTATGTAGCTGAGTATGCAAAAGGACTGATGGACATGTGTTGCTAAATCCAGAAAAAGCTGTGAGCACAAAACTTGTATTCTAGGAAAAAGGCCATTATGTCCATTCTCTAGATCCATATCATGCAGTTAGCTAGGAAGAGGTATCGAGGAAAGAGAAGGCAGTAGGGGAAGAAATCTCTTTTGCAGTGAAAAAATGTGAGTAGAAGAGTTGTTTGGTAAGCTGAAAGGTTTAATTAAGATCTTAATATGCCTTTCTCTTCAAGTACAAGCATTCCATTTTGATTGCAGTGGCAGTCAAAATCTCTCCTTTTCTCTCTCCCACCTTCTACATAAACACAGAAGCAACTTACACTTTGCAACTTCTTTTGACTTTTTCTTTAACAGAAGCAAGTCAACTGCACCAAAGAATCACTGAGAGTGTGTATCATGCACCAATGGATTCCTCCAATGCAAGCAGGTAACCATAGCTGCCTTGACATATCAGGGCCAGGTTTTATTTTGCATTTGTGCTTTTGCAGTACATAAATTCTTAGGATTTTGTGTTTAGCTTCCTGGGTATTAATTTACTCAATTTTCTTCAAATTCTTTAAAGATATATAAATACAGATAATGGTTTGCTCAAGAGAGAAGTAATATCACAATGCAGAATTAATTTCAAAGATTAACTCAAGTTTAGACAAAAAGTATTGAAACATTTCCAGCATCTTAAATAGAGCTGTTAGCAAAGTTTTGTAATGACCCATTTACTGGGCAGGTTTAATGTAAGTTGGCTGGGATATCACTGTAAAATTTTAGCAGGATCAACCAAACCAGGAGATCCCAGGTAACAGCCAGCCTTTGAGAGCTGGACAACTCAATGCAAGAAATATCAAACAGATGTAGTGCTATTAATCCTGCACCATATTTTCTTTAAGCTGGGCTAGTTTGCTTTGTTTAGGGTTCAAGGGTGAAAATTTTTCAGCAGAACCACTTTGGGGAAAGGAGGAAATTATTCCAGTAAGATATGAAGTGCAACCACAAAAATGTTTCAGAAGAATCCAGATGTGTGTCCTTCTTATAAGGCTCCTAAAGTGAGATTTTCCAGAGCAGAAATTATAGACAAAATATGTTGACAGAAAATTAATTAACTCCAGGAAGAAAGGCCATGTGATCACCTATTTGTCTTAGAATGGATTAAACCAAAGGAACAATGAAATGTTTGTTGTCCTCACTCTGCCAGAAAAGGAGAGATCAGATGCTCCTGCTCCAAATGCTGGGTTATTATAGGAACAGGAAGAATACAGTGAGTCTTCATGAAAGAACAGTGCTCTGGGCTGTGATGAATGGCACAAGCTCAGGGTGTCCCATTATCTGTAATATGTGTCCCTAAGACAAGCGAGGGCAGTGGAATTCCAGCACCAAGCTGGCTTTGGTGGTTGATGTGAAATGGTGGATCCAGAGCTCCTCAGACCCTGCAGCCCTTTCTGCAGCCTGTTCTGGGATGCTGGGTGGAGACAAGGAGGGGAAGAGGCTGGACTGCAGTAGCCACCATGTGGCACAGTCTGTGCTCATGTGGGACATGGCCAAGCAGCCCCAGTTGTGAGAGGTGCTGGAGGCCAGTGGAGACAGCATTTGCTAAAGAGCAGCCAGAATCATCAGTGCTCTGCCAGCAGACAGAGACTAATTAATCACTGACATGTTGTCTACCCAACAGACACCTACTCCTGGGTTGCCCTTGTGTGACAGTGACTCTACTGTTTGTTGGGAATTGTCAAACCTCTGCTGTGACATTGGGGAAGTCTGCTTGCAGGATGCTTCCCCCCGCCCCAGCCTATATCTGTTCCAGGACAAAGACTATCCCCTTTACTGTTTACATGCCACCCACATCACTTGGGACTGCAGCTCCATGAGATAAGGCAGGCTTGACTTGGGATTGGAGCTGAGGTGTTGGGAAAAGGGACACTTAGAGCCTGTGTCCTTAATATAGGCAGTTACTGAGTGTCCCCAAGTCCTGTTCATTCTATTCCAATTCTCTCTCTCTCTCCAAATTCTTCCAAAAATTTCATTGTTTAATCCTAAAATGGGATGCCCTGTGGTATCTGTTGCTGCTGTATCTCTCTCAAGGGATGGCTGCTGCATTTCATTGATAATGAAATGATCCCTTTGTATTGTTTTCTAATCTATTTAAACATATGAAACTTAAATAGTCCATTGTTCTAACTGCTTAACTATCTGCTTTGTTGGAATAGATTGACACAGTCATACATCCATGCAAAAATATCCTGTGAACATGGATAAACACAAACTCTTGGAATTTGGCTGCAGATGCTGTTTCAGAAAAGCTAGTGTATTTTCTTGGTGTCTTTCTCACAGCTGTAAATCTTTAACTCTGTTAGCTGCATGTTTCACAGTTATTTCAGCCTAGCTAGGAAGAAAGAGAGGAAAAAGAATGAGGAAATGTGAGTGTGCTTTGGATTTGTTCCCATGTTTATTTTGAGCCCCATTTTGTACCTGACATTAGGCTGCAAAATCACATTTTGATTTAGTACAGGAGGTAACAGAAACCTTGCTAAAGTTCCATCAGAAACAGGTCAGAAGATCAAACACAAAACAATGAGTCCTGGACTGTCTTATAGTTGGAGAAAGTATTTACAGATCTCTAGTATTAAAAATGTTTTTAAATTTTAAATGATATCTCGGACCTTTCCTTACAGCAGAAGAAGCTCTGTGAATGTTAAGTGTAGCAGTTCATATGTTAATTGTAAGCAGCAGTTTAATTGCTGATACATGTCAATAGCAAGCACTTTGGCAAACAGTATTTCAAATGTGTAGGTACAATGATTTTTGTGAAGCAGTCTGCCAAAGATAACAGTAAAACACCCAAATTAACCCACCAGACATTTGCAGAAGTATGAGAATAAGAACCACAAGAAAACCTTGCAACTTGAATGTCCTACAAAAGTAGGACAGGGGTGTCTGTCCCATTGCAGACCCAAGGCCAGTTCCTGGGCAGGTTTGTCAAGGTGGATCCTCCCATTTGTGATTCAGCTGCAGACAGGGATATCCCACTGGCATTCATGCTCCAAAGAGCAGAAGAAACAGAAGCTGGGGAAGCCAATAGAATTCATATGCTGCTCTATGCATGGTATGACCTCTGCATGACCATCCAGTATCCATCTCTCTCCTGGAGACAAATGTATTTATGCTGCAAAGGATGGAAAATCGGGATTATTTTTCTTTACCAGGCTTCCCACCCCAACTTCTCCAATCCGTTGCACTTGCAAAAAGAACTTGTTCAGACAACCAGCTTGTTTCTCCATTTTTCCCTTCTCAACTCTGATGGAGCACATCCTTCACTGTGTGGTGTGGAGAGGAGGCAGGATGGGTTTTTTCCTACACATACCTGTACAGATGCAGGCTTTTGTAGCACACAGCATTTTAAAACCAGCCCTTTGCTCCTTAGGCTTCCATGTCGGATGGTAAAAAAGAATGCTCAGTGCTTTATTAAATGTTAACCAGAGATGTATTTTTGTATTTCTTTTGTCTCAAGGTACAGCAGGAAGTCATCAAGTATATATGAAAACAAATCGGACACATCAAATGTGGATGCATCTAACAATAAAAACAGGAATTCCAGTCCCAGCGCCAGACAAAAGAGAGGTAGGGGTTCTGACAGAGCTTTTGCTTCCAAAGGGTAACGTTTTTATATTTGCACATATTTCTGGAGTTTAGAGAGGATACTTTAAATCTACATTGTTTTAACCCAACTTCAGAAAACCAATGCTACAAAGCTGAATGACTGTACCATGAAAATTTGTGAACACCAAAAGGCATTACTGGTTTAGGGTTTTTAAGTCTGAGTTTTGATGCTTTATAGTGCTCTTTATACAACTTGTGTTGTTTAAAAAAATAGAATTTAGGGGACAATAGCATATATATTTTAACCTTCTGTATCCTGGTGGAGTTGATTTCTAGACATAGTTAATTTAAATATTTTTCTACAGACTGCTAACTGATTTCTTTTCTTTAAGTCAATGAGAGTTTTTTTGCCTCCTCTGTGTATGTCAGTTCTCCTCAGGTGTACAGTAAATAAACACACAGGCTGTCACAGAATGTCCTTCCATTGTTTGAGTCCATAAGTACAATAGATCTTCTATATAACAGAAGTTAAAATAAACACTATAAAGAAACTGAATCTCATCTGACAGTAACAGAAACAGAAAATATTTTGACAGCAGTTATTCTTTTAGACAGTATTTCTTAATATTGAACAAAGAATTTTCTAGTAATATGAAAAAAGAAAATTGTGAGGTCTTTAGAGATTGATGCCAAAATGAGGCGTAAAGTAACAGCCCCTTTATAAATAAAAAATTAAAAAATGTTAAAAAGAAAAAATGGAATATCTCTCTTGGAAAAATAGAAAAATAGACTATTTACCAAAAGATTTCTCATTGCCTTAGGTTTTCATGCTGGGAAAAAAAAAATTATGGATTCTTCATTAAAAAAACCCAATCTTAAGAATTAATTTCAGTAAAATTTTATTTTAAAAACATTTAGACTTTTTTTGAATTTTAAAAGTGGAAAAGTAGCTTTTCCTTTTAAATTTATAAACCCCTTTAAAAAAAATTCCAGGAAGATTACTGATGTTTTCTAACTGTCCAGCCTACTCAAGAGTGTGGGAACTGGGATCACATTCCATGCTGATTGTCATTCTTCTGTCTTCTGCTTTCCCATGAGCAGCTCCTCAGGGCTCTGGCTGGGATCCCACTGGCTCAGCCCAGAGCATCCTCATCCTCTGGTGGGTGGCTCTTCCTGCAGGGCTGGGCAGTGAAGTCCGTTCTTGTTTGGTGATTTGGGTGTCCTGTGCATCCGGAGCTGCAAACCTCGCTTTGCAGAGCAGCAAAATGCTCTCCAGCTCTAGATGTGCCACCAAAACTCGAGTTTGTGTCCCTGTGAGGCACCTACGGCTGGGGCTCTGCAGGGGGCTAAACTCAAAAATGTCCCAACACCCGGCACAGAGCCTGGGGCTCTGCCAAAACTGTCTCTTTTGTGCCACCTACCGCCTGTAAAATGCTTCCAATATCGGTGTAGTTAATGTGAACATAGATTATTTTAAAATATTGGGGAGTTTCTGCAGTACAGAAGGGGAGGGTGCTATTGGCAAACTATTTTCAGTTTTGTTATTCTTATTGATAAGTGCCTGTGGCAGAGTTTTCTACCTGTAAACCAGTGGTTTTTGTGGACCTGACTGGTGGAGTCACTGCCTTGAAATAAAATGGGAGCAAATCCTGCAGGAACCTGTGGGGACCCTCTTGTCTGACTGCCCTGATCAAAGCAGGATCAGCTGCAGCAAGTTGCTCATAGCCATGTCCATTTTTGTTCTGAACAGCTTCAAGGATGGTGACTATAATTTGCCATGGGGGCACTGTCCTAAGTTTAAACCCTTTCACAGTAAAAAGGATTTTTCACATTTTTAAATGGAATTTCCATATTTCAATTTGTGCCTGCTGCTTCTCTCATCCTTTCACTGGGCTCCACTGAGAAGCATCTGGTTCCATCTTCTTTATTTTATAAGATCCTCCTGAGCCTTTTCTTCTCCAGGCTGTGCAATCACAGCTCTTTCACTCTCTCCTCATGTCAGCTACAGCACTCCCTTAATGACCTTCATGGCCTTTCCCTGGGTTTACTCGAGTGTGCCCATGCCCTGAGGAGCCCAGGACAGGACAGCACTGCAGGAGTGTCTCTCTTGTGCTGAGACGAGGGGAAACATCACCTCCCTGCACCTGCTGGCACAGCTCTGCCCGATGCAGCCCAGGATGCTTCTGGCTTTCTTTGCCACGAGTATGCATTGCAGGCTCTTGTTCAACCTGTTACCCATCAGGACCTGGTCCTTATTATGTTTGGAAATAGTTTCCAGAGGTATTTGATATACCTGCAGAATGAAGGAAAAGGTTTGAAATAACTCAAGTGGAGACAATATGACTTTAGAGACCAATGACTTTAGAGACCAGTATCTAATGCTTTGCTGGTGCTGTGAGGCTGTGGGGACTTGTGAAAAGCAAAGGGGTCCCTCAGTGCAGTGATTCAATTGCAGAGCTGAAGAACTAACACTGGAACCCACCCCTCTATACATGCACTGCTATGCTCCCTGTGGGACTCTCTGATAATGAAATACTATGGATTTTCTTGCCCTAAGAAAACAGAAAGTAAATGTATTTTATATACTAGTTTTTGAATTCTAGATGAGCTACTGTATCTGTACAAAGACTGCCTGGCAGTGGGAGCAGCCATGGCAGGCCAACACAAAGTGTCTGAAAGCCAAAGGGAGCCCTGTGGCTCAGGAGCAGCTCCTCACCAGATGCACCTGCCTGGCCCAGAGCTGGCACTGGGTAGAAGGAGCTGAACCACAGTGACATAATTCTCCTGTGTTGTTAAAATCTGTTCATCTCACACCCACCTATGCATGCAGGCACCTCAGATCCTGGACTGTCTTGGCTGCAAATCAGGAAGTGATGGGATGCACTTTCCTTTGGAAGCACAGCTTGTCTGTCTGTTGCTTGTCTGTCAGTGTGGATTCACTGTCTCTTTGTATTCCCTTTGTACTTTGGGTCTTCATCTGTCCCTCTAAAGATTTTCATGTGACTGTGTATGAACTAAAGAGGAGGAAAATCTATTGGTTAAATCCCAAGGCTCAGAACCAGCTACCCAAAATGGCTTTTCTCCTGCTCCTTTGCCATAAACCTTCTGGGTGTTATCTGCCCACACCAAGAAAGGAGCAGATGGAGGATTTGGCAGGAATGTGTGGATCTGGGAGTTTGATCCAAGTCCACCTGTTTCACCTACAATGTGAGTAACTGAGTATCTTTCAAGCCCAGAGCCTCAGGACCTCAATCCATCTGTGAGTGATCTCTGCAGAGGCAGCTGTCAGACAGCATGGCTGATTATTCATGCAGGAGCCTGGCCTGTGAGCTTTGCTGGCATGGCATCCTTACATCCCAGCAAATCAGGAGATCAATTGCATGACTCTCTGCCAGCTTCAGAGGCTTTAGAAAGGCTTCAGCAGGTAAGGCTGAAGGTGTACCAGTCACAGGACTGGTGAGGGCACTCTTCAGTGCCAGTGCTGGATTGCAGAAGTGGGACTGCTCTCAACACTTGCATGTCCTGCACTGCGAGGCTTTTTCTCTTATTTTTCCCTACAACTCGCTATTCCAGCCAATGATGTGTTTCCATAACAGAAGGCACTAACTTGCTGCTAAATTCTATTTTCCTTTGATGAGAGCTACCTTCTTTCACCTGTTAATTTTGGTTTTGTTTTGTTGTTGTTCTCCATTAAAACTCAGTGAACCAAACTCAACCCAGGGACTCTGTTTGGTTCACCTCATGTCACCTTTCTAATTGATTAGCTCTTGCTCAGGCTTGAACTGAATCAAAACTTATTTCTTTTTAGTTGTCATCCAGTGCTAACCTTTCCTTTCCCATAAGCTGAACAGCTGACCCTTCCTTCCTTATTTCTCTTCCCTCTCCCTCTCTCTCCTAGTTGATGCTTCCAGCAGCCTTAACCTTGAGCGCACAGCGCTTGCTAGAAAGCGATTCACATTGCAAGGTCTTTCCAACCGCAGAGCTCCACCCAAAGGTAAAATCACCCATGCAGCATTTGGTCTCAGGCCATCTGTCTCCTGCACTCCCACAATGTTCTCTCCATCCCATGGTGCCATCCATCACCGTTTCCTAAAGTGCTGCTGCATCTCACCCAAGAGATGCACACAAGTGGCTCCTCTGCTCAAAGACAAGGTCACCAAAAATTGCTCCCACAGCAGCATTGGCAAGGCAACCTCTGGGTTGGCTGGTTGGGTCTTTTACTGGTGCACAGTGCAAATAACATTTGTTTCCAGTTTCTCTCAAGGGTCAAAGTGTGAACTGGTTTTAAATGATCAACTGAACTTCTTTCAGAAGCTTACAGGCTTGAAGAAAATGAGTATCATATCTATTGTGCTACATGAGATTTTCATGTGTGAAATCATTCATTGGTTGAATGTCTTTGTTTTTTCAAATATTGTTCAGCTGTGGCCTAGGGGGGAACAAGAATTCAGGAGATCTGGGGTTTTATTCCATTTAATTATGTTACAGCATAAAATGCTGTGTCTTGAGTACTTGTGTATAAATGTTTAGTAGATATCTATGAACAGAGAGCATTGCAAGTTGCTGTGATGGCTGTACAAGGAAGAGACTTTAGAGGAGAGAAAGAAATGCGAATAGAAATTAAATTAAATTACTACTTACAATCACTTTCTGAAAAGATACTGTAATTACTCCCTGTATTTTTTTTGTGTGTCTTTTCTCCTGTTCTGATAAATAATATTTCCTCTGTGAGACCGAGGGTTAGTATGCAGTGATGGAGAGGGTGAGTATCAAAGCAAGAAGACCAAGATGAAAGCATAAAAGCAGAAATACAGAAGCATTAAATTATAATGTGATAAAGTAAATAAGAATGCACCAAGAGTCAGCACTTCTGTAAGATTCTGGCTATAAGATTAAGGCTGCATGTGGTAGTGAGATCTAAGATGGACAAAGTTCAATATCTGAATATAAAAATAAGTGGGCTTTAGATCTTGTGACTCAGGAAAATCAATCACAAAACACAGATTTCAGAAATAATGCTG